AAAAAAAATCCTACGGACCCCAAACTTGGTCATTATACAGTAGACATATGGTAGTACTCGAATATGGCTTTACTGGATTTTTTATAATGTTTTCGAGCATAGAAAGCGAGAAAGAAGGGGGTCCAAAAATGGCAAACTCCGCCCCTAGCCCCTTCCACATAGGTCATTGTATACTACAAGCCTTAAAAAGTATAAAACTTGAAATTTTACCTTCATTTGTATTTTGGTAATCGAGAAATACCAAGTTTTACATAAAAACTGAAAAAAGTGACCTTATTGCATTTTCGGGAGATTTTAATTTCTCAGTTTTGAGTCCCGAAAAAATCCACCAAATACATTTGTGGGTGGTACTACCATGTGTCTACTGTACAATGACCAAGTTGGAGGTACGTGGGAATTTTTGGGAAGGAGATGAGGTTTTTAGGGTGCCTGAAAAATTTTGATTACTGGCTCCAAACTTTACCTGGACTGCGAGGATTTGGAGGCTAGAGAAAAGGACCAGAGAGCACGCAAGGAGACGCAGACTGCGTCGCGGGCGAGGGCGATCTGCGTCTCTTTGCGTTTTGCACTCAAACTCCGCCTTCCAGCTGTCTATCCTGTTGAATCAAAGTATAGAATGGTACCCTACATTTGCTAGGAAGGCAAAAACAGACTGATTTATTTAAAAAAGGAGTTTACTCTTGGGAGATCCTAATACTTGGCAAATTTCTTTTATCAGAGTTTGAATCCAATATTTTTTTCGCTTACCTGTGGAGCAACCAGAGCTCCAACTCTAGCTGCTAATGAGCATGTACCCATGCCGATTGTTCGAATATGTGTTGGAAAACTCTCCACAGCTATGAGATAACATGCATCCCATGTCAGTTCGATTAATGACACTCCGATAACGTTGATTATGATTACTGAAAATTATTTCTGGAATAATCAAGCATGCAAGTGATTTTTTAGACTTACTTGCCCAATCTCTCGTGCTGTAGCCATCACAGCTTGATTCTGGTACGAAAATTTGAAGAAACATAATAGCGGAATAGCATACTATTACAAGCACCTAAATTGGCTACATAGC